ATGAGCCTTTTCTAAAAGTTTGATGGCATATTTGAGCCTTTTCCCTTTCTAATGACAAACAAGGATAACCATATTGACTTTATTTAATCTAGGTTGTAATGATGAGCATGTTTTCTTAGGTTAGACTAAAGACATTTTGTAATTTGTATTAGCTCTACCAGGATGCATCTTTTTATGCTTCTTGTATAAATAAGCTACCTTTCAGATCATTAATGAACAAAAAGATCAAGTGCCCATTTTTTCATGTCTTGTGCAAAATTGCTATATAGAGGATATAATAATAGTAATAACCTCTACTTTTCATAAACTAAAAGTTATTAAAGTAGATATAGGAAACAGAATGTATGGTAATAAGAGTTCTTTTTTGGAGAAAAATTATTATAATAACTATTCCTTCTTTCAGAACATATTCGGATTAACGGTATGAATCTCTACTTCTTCATTTAAACTCATCTCATAAAATCAATAGGATTCATCATGAATTAACAAGTTTTACGCTGACTGTCAGCCTACCACAACCCTCCTCCTTTATTAAAACTTGAGGCCGACAGTTTGAGCAAGCTCATGTATAATTGAAGTTATTGATGATAAGTTAGCAATGCATAATTAGTGATCATAAGCTTAATATATCCCCTTCTCAAAATTCAAGGGGTTGATAGAGACACAATTATAGCTAGAAAAGAATTTTTAATTGTCCAGTTAAGAATAACACCACAAGTTTCAATCATTTGGATTTATGGGAGATATCACTTTTCTAACCAAAAATTGAACAAACACCAAACTTGTGATTTCTTCACAAAAACATATGAGTATTGCTATTACTAGATTCACTAAAGCTTGATTAGCAAGTTTTTTCCCATGCTAGTTTATGTCAAGTTTTAGTACAAGACAGGTCAATAGTAAAGAATGGTAATGATATTTGCATACTAGCAGTAGACAAAGATAAAACTTCTTTACTCACATTCATTATAATGGTTCCCAAAGTGTACCATATAAAAGCATATACATATGAATTATATTGTCAATTTTCTTTTATAATATCAGTGTAGTTTAACGTGTAACGTTTGATAGTAAGTTAGTTACTGTTATCTTAAAAAATGATTTGATAGTGTAAATGATTCTTATGCGTCTTCAGTGCATAAAACTTAAAATTGTTCTATAAATCGATCATACTTAGGTGTCCTATAGTCAATATCCAAATCATTTTTGCTCAGCAACTATTTCCATATTTCAATTTTATGGACAAATCTGAAGTTGCTTCTCAATGAACTTATGACCAAACATGTTACATGAACAAGTTGGCCATAGTAGTCTTTTATGTATTCTTGAGGCCACCATCAGGAAATATATACAACAGATTCACAGATGCAACCAGAACTTCATAAGATTAACATCTGGTTATCCAAAAGAATAAATCAATTAGAATCCCAATACATTAAATCAAGAACCACTAACCAAATACTAACCACCATGCACCAAAAATTATATCGTTGAACTACTGATCAGAACATTTTTAATACATAATAACAAAATTAACATAGAGAGAAATCAGTCGAGAGAACAAGACACTTCAGAAAGGTATTTTGAGTAAAGGTTTATCACCTTAACAAGTAAATGCATCTGCGAAGAACATGACCACTTGAGGGCTTAAGCCAACCGAAGACACTAAAGAGAGGGTCAGCAACATCAACGAAAAAGTCACATTCAATGCTATACAGTACTAAACACAGATATAGCTACAGAAGTTAGCTTTACATGTCACTGGTCTATGTCTGAAATGAGCCAATGATGGTGAATAACCGAAATCTAAACAGCATTTTGTGAGATGGGTCCGAGGTAATCACCCTCCAAGCTCCCAACTGCTTGGAATTCCTTCTCCGCCTCCACATACCTTGCTCCAACCACAATGAAACGCACCACAGTGTCTTTCTCAATTCTTGACATCTTCTCATTCATAAAGATAGGATTTTCTCCAGGCACATACTTATAATCTGCCATCTTCTGATGTGAGAGGTATACCTTGTCGGTGGGGCCACATCTCAAAAAGACACCGTGCTTAAAGATATTGTCAACAACCCTTCCTTCCAAGATCTCTCCACGGAACATCTTGAAGGTAACACAGCTGAATTCCACAGGGAAAAGCACATCATCAGTGTGTTCTTGAACTTTCCCTTCCCCAATCCTCTCCAATGTAGTAAGAGACATAAAGTAACCAAGATTTTTTGAGGCCTTCTTTGCAGCAAAGTCATCCATGAGGCGACTAACAATTGCCTTCGGAAGCATTACGCCTTCAACATCAAGAATCCCAGCATGGATTATCACATTCCACGACAACTGAGATTTCAAATATATTTCAAAGAACCTGTCACAAATCAAAACACAGTCGGCTTCATCAAGGGTAATATGAGGCCTTACAAAGAAACCATGCAGTCACAGCAATTCTAGTATGAAAGGTCAAGAAAATGTTTTGAATTTCATATGCCACAACTACAAGAAATGCAGTGCGCATCTACTGAAATTTATCCATCAGGAGAAGATTTCTAATCCCCACAAACACTGTTAAGGTGCAAAAGGTACTAGGTATGGAACCGCAATAGACAAAATGGTACAAGGATCAATTTGGACGTGGTGTTCTTAACTAGCAATATCAGTCATCTTTCCCTCATATAAGTTGCAGAGATTAGCTTGAAACATCACAGGCAAACATAGGAGACTACACAAGTTCACTCCTCTGATATAAGACTGTATCAACTCATACGAGAATACAACAATCAGCCTGTTACAACATCTTCATTAATAAGATAATACAACCCTCCACCCCCACCCCCACCCCCACCCCACTCCAAAAAAAAAAATTCTTGACATCTTCTCATTCATAAAGATAGGATTTTCTCCAGGCACATACTTATAATCTGCCATCTTCTGATGTGAGAGGTATACCTTGTCGGTGGGGCCACATCTCAAAAAGACACCGTGCTTAAAGATATTGTCAACAACCCTTCCTTCCAAGATCTCTCCACGGAACATCTTGAAGGTAACACAGCTGAATTCCACAGGGAAAAGCACATCATCAGTGTGTTCTTGAACTTTCCCTTCCCCAATCCTCTCCAATGTAGTAAGAGACATAAAGTAACCAAGATTTTTTGAGGCCTTCTTTGCAGCAAAGTCATCCATGAGGCGACTAACAATTGCCTTCGGAAGCATTACGCCTTCAACATCAAGAATCCCAGCATGGATTATCACATTCCACGACAACTGAGATTTCAAATATATTTCAAAGAACCTGTCACAAATCAAAACACAGTCGGCTTCATCAAGGGTAATATGAGGCCTTACAAAGAAACCATGCAGTCACAGCAATTCTAGTATGAAAGGTCAAGAAAATGTTTTGAATTTCATATGCCACAACTACAAGAAATGCAGTGCGCATCTACTGAAATTTATCCATCAGGAGAAGATTTCTAATCCCCACAAACACTGTTAAGGTGCAAAAGGTACTAGGTATGGAACCGCAATAGACAAAATGGTACAAGGATCAATTTGGACGTGGTGTTCTTAACTAGCAATATCAGTCATCTTTCCCTCATATAAGTTGCAGAGATTAGCTTGAAACATCACAGGCAAACATAGGAGACTACACAAGTTCACTCCTCTGATATAAGACTGTATCAACTCATACGAGAATACAACAATCAGCCTGTTACAACATCTTCATTAATAAGATAATACAACCCTCCACCCCCACCCCCACCCCCACCCCACTGCAAAAGAAAAAAAGAGTATTTACACCAATTTGAAACTCTTCTAAGTCCGCTAAACCGACCATTGGAGGTAGAATGGTGAAATAGAGTTTCCCACAGACAAAAGAAATTAAGAATTTTTCATATAATCAAATCGCTTTTAGAAGCCAACTGCAGTCAAATTATATTTACAATGTTAAGTAGATACTTAAAACTTAATACACATATCCATCCTTCTCACTGGGATTTGGGCAACATGTGAAAATCATCCCAACTTCGAATTTATCAAATTGCCCCATGCATATTTCAATCAGCCTCAAGAGTCAAAAAGCAAAGGCATTTCACAGTTATATAAGAGTAAATTTAGATAACCGAATAACCAAAAAAATTACGAGGGAAACTAAAGGACCCCCATATTTTATCTAGGGTTAGGAAAACTTTGCAAAATCAGCAGGGTTTCTGTGCCAAAAGATAAATTGGTACTTCGCCTTTGCTTTTAAGCTTCTAAAGAGTGGGAAAATGGGGGAAACTTAGATTTATGTTACAGTATACTACAGCATTGCATGATCGGAAAGTAACAAGTAAAGGAAACAATTTGAAAAATTCTCAGCATACAAAAGGAAAAAAAAAACAGTGCAAGCAAAGAGAACCGGCGAAGGCGGCACAGTAGCGGGACTAACCTTTGGTGGACAACCCGGGCACCGGCTACCGGCGACGGCGGGACAGAGAAGGTGAGGTACGGGAACTTTAGGAATTGGGTTCAGCTCACTTGTGATGGTGACTTGGTGCTATGGTTTTAGTCCATAAAGTTATGTTATTTTCAGTTTACTCCCCCTTTTTTCATTGATCGGATTTCGAGATTTAAACAAATTTATCTTGACCGTATATTTTTCATATATTTTTTGAATTTTCAGTTATGGTAACTTTTTACGTAGTTTATAAATATATATAAATTTCATTTTTTAAAAAATGAAAAATTCATGAGCAAATTCACGATCAAACCTATACTATTTAACTCTTAAAAAACGAAATGTGTCACATAATTGGGACATAGGGAGGATGGTTTTGTACTCTTTCATTTTCACCCCTTCGAATGAGAAATCAAATTTTATCATTTTTTTAATTATGTTTTCCTTAGTTAATTTTCATGTCTTTTTTCATTTTGAGATTAGCCATAAAATTTTAATTTGATCATTTCGAGTTTAGGTCATCGAGACTAAATTGATCTATAAAAAGCCTTATATAAATATTTTTAAAATATGTTTATGTACAAGAGACTGGAAGGGCAGGCATTGGGGAAATCATCAGGAATAGCTATAGAGACCTGATCATGGCATTCTCGTTCCCTCTGTAGTGTAGAAGTAGCAACATGATCAAGTTCATGGCAGTTGAGTTTGGTGTAAAATGGTGTAATCGACATGGGTACACTAATTTTATTTTAGAACTTGACTCCATGAGTATAGTCAATATGCTCGCCAACGATATAATTACAAATATGAAGCTGAAACAAGTCATTAACTGCATCAACATCATCAAAAGAAAGAATGTAAATGCAAATTAAACATTGTTTCAGAAAAGAAAATCAAGTTGCAGATTGTTTATAAACCTGACTTTTTCTTCTCACTATATGCTCATCACTCAACTCTATTCCAATTTCCCTAGACAAGCAAAAGGTAATTTTCCACTAGAAAAATGGAAATTGTCTTGTAGGAGCAAATATGATAGAGCAAATTTCTTTGTAAGCTAGTTGGTTTCTTTTTTCGTAAATTTCCAGAAGGCTCTGTAGTAGATTTCGTAAGTCTTTCAATTCCTTGGGACTGATCAGTGTTGTATGGAAGTAGGTCACACTTACCTAGAGAGAAATACAAAAATCAAGCAAATAAGTAAGAGCATATTGAGAGAGTTCTGACTAATGAGTCGATTTCATATTTATGTCTTCCAGCTAGACGATATCGTGTGTTAGGATTTAAATATATCGAGTTGTACCTATTTAAGCTTTTTTAAAAGCACTGTTTAGGTAAAACCTTGAGTTAATTTCAGCTTCAAGTTAAGGATAACTTGGAGAGGGCTTAACAATATGTGTATATTGTTGCAAGAGAGATTAGCCATAGCTCCAAGGTTGCATCTCTCGTAATCTAAATCTTATTGAGGCTCATTGTTTTAGTGGAAGTTAGGATAAATCTTGTAGAGGTGTAGGTCGTTATTTTCACATTTATAAGTCATGTGTTTAATACGTAAAAATATTATATTATATTATATTACTTTGTATTGGTGAATATATTTGAATGTGTGACAAGGAGATCGAGTACATCACAACGATAGCATAGCTCGAAGCTTAATCCGCTTTACTTTCTTGATCGTTTCAGAAACCTTTTGATAATAATTTTATAATATTAATTAACTGTTAATAACTGAATTTAAAGAGTTAAATTAGGATGTGTGCCCTTGAACTCATATAAATTTAACCGTACCATTTTTTTGATAAACAACTTTATTGTTGTTTCTATTCCGCAAAGTAGTTTTTAATTAATACACCAATAAAATAATTTGGTGTATCACTTGGAAGAAATTCAAGTATAATCCAATTTGCCTCTCTTGTGTTAGTAGGTATTGCGTGTTGAGTATCAAATGCTTTATAAAGTGAGAGATTTAAAAAAATACATGAATCTTATTGTATGTTTTCTGGACCATATTGATGGAATATTTATGGTCTAAATTAACCTAATAGGTTGAGTATTAAATGGAAAAAAGAACAATGCACAGACATGCCTCATGTTCGATCTATTGACCAGAAAAGAAACAACAAAAATGATTATTAAAATAAATACAATAATTCTAGACGGAATTTATTGATGGCCACCTAAAATTGGTCCCAATTTTTATTTAGACATCTTAATTAGTCTGTGTTAGTTTGAACACCTCATGTTGGGTCTGCAGTGTCATATTAACAGTTTTAGCATAAATTTTTAAGGACTCAAACGTGTGGTTAAAGTCACTTCCAACTTTAATTAAATGACCAGTTGAATTGTGCCAACTCATTTGAAATCACCACATTATTATACACACACAAAAATTAAAAAGAAAAAATAATGGCCAAAACACATGGCAAAGTGTCCAATGAATTAATGACACATGGACTTCTTTTTCCAAATAATTTTAAAAAAATCTTTTAAAAATTCTATATTTTGCAGCTCCCCCACCCCATCACAGTCATCTCCTCCAAGCTTTAACTCCATCAATGGAGTTCGAATTTGTTTTCAATGCTCTTGTTAGTATTAGTAGTAACCAAATTGAAAGGTCATTTCTTTATTATTTTAATATATCAAGAAAATCAAAATTCTTAAAGGAGAAAGAACAATATGTGGGATTGGATTGTTTAAAGAAGAAACATAAAAAATGTTTATATAATCATTTTTGTGGCATAAAGTTTGTTTAATGGTGAACTTTTTCATCTTTAAGAATTAATTATTCCATTGATACTATTGATTATAAATTCAATTTTTTGTTATTTTCTTGTACACTAGCACTAGTTTGAGGTGAACTTGCACTAGTTTGATGTCAACCTTCATGAGTAATTCATCAAATTGGTTAAATCTAAAATAATAACATTCTCTTTATTTGATACGATCCCACTATACATATCGATATACATATAGATTTACCAACTACATGTCAGTCATCCAGAGATCTTGATCTACTTGAAAATTGATATATCCATATATCATGTTTCTGCGGGCATAAGAGTTTTTTCCTTTATGTTCGATGGAATCACATTTATACTATAATCCAATAAATAGATATCTTTGTTATGATACAAGTCCACGTTTTCAAAAAAAAAAACAGAGGATGGGATTGGGTCCCAGCGGATCCAAACAATCTTGTTTTTTTGAACATGAAGAAATAAAGAAGTCATTGCAATTGCCGGAAAGACTAGGCCTACTAACGTCACAAAAATAGATGGAAGGTTCAAATTTGTCATAGAAGGGGTACCTCGATTTACTATACGTATTTGTTATTATGTTATTATATAAATAAAAATATTTTGTAATAATTATAATTCAAGACTTTAGTGAATTAACTCTATTACATAAGTTAATTCCTAATTTTTATCTCACATGAGATAAGTAAGCAATTATATTTTGAGAAAAAAAAATCACTTTTTGGATTATTGTTTAATTTTGATATGAAAAAAGTATTTAAATATTTTTTTCTCTAAGAGATGGGGAGAGTTTGAGAATGCGGAATTAAAATTTGAAAAAATGGTAGAAGGTAATTGCTGAAAAACTGAGAAGAACAAGAAAAAAATTAAATTAAAAATTGATTAAATAAGTCTTCACATGCTGATTTTGACTGTATTACATTTCTCATATCATGTAAAAGTGTCAAAATTACATAATAAATCATGACATAAAATATTTTTTTTAAAAAAAATTAACTTAGATATTTAAAAAATTGATGTCAATTTTAAATGAATTCTGCCGTAATTCTATTGTCTGGTCTTTCTTTAAATCAAAACTTGTCACTTGCAACGCGTAGGCAATTAAACATGGGGATGTTGTAATAAAATTGTAATCACCAACGTAGGGCTGCAGAAATTAAACGGAAATGGCCAAAATATATTGTTAGACTATTTGAAAAGGTTTGAATATACCCTTTATTCGTTTATTGGGTTAAAAATATCTCAAGTCCACCATTTTGGCTCACTGTTACCCTTAAGGGGTCGTTTGGTAAGCCACACTAGAAGAAATAGTTCATGTATTATGTTTGGTATTATTTAGTACTATATTTGATAGGAATTTGAGCCTATGTATACTAATTTATGCATTAGTTATACATCTAACATGGTATTATAGGATGTAGTACTAGTACCTTCTATTTGGAGGTATTAGTAATACATAGGACATAATATGAGAAAACGATCAAAATAGTCATTTATATGTAGGGGTTGAATTATTTTGATCCTTTATATATTTCATCTTATCCAAATATTAATATATAATAAAAGAGTATCATTTTGATCCATAACCTTAAAAACTAACTGAAAAAATAAAAAAATTGTTAAACTTAAATGTGGGTCCTACTTTGTGGACCCTTCTTCCTCATCATCTTTTTATTCTCTATGACTTTTTCCACTAATCTGTAATTTCAATGTCACACATCAACTTCAAATTTTATTTAAATATTATGAAATATAATAATAATAATAATAATAATAATAATAATAATAATAATAATAATAATAATAATAATAATAATAATAATAATAATAATAATAATAATAATAATAATAATAATAATAATAATAATAATAATAATAATAATAATAATAATAATAATAATAATAATAATAATAATAATAATAATAATAATAATAATAATAATAATAATAATAATAATAATAATAATAATAATAATAATAATAATAATAATAATAATAATAATAATAATAATAATAATAATAATAATAATAATAATAATAATAATAATAATAATAATAATAATAATAATAATAATAATAATAATAATAATAATAATAATAATAATAATAATAATAATAATAATAATAATAATAATAATAATAATAATAATAATAATAATAATAATAATAATAATAATAATAATAATAATAATAATAATAATAATAATAATAATAATAATAATAATAATAATAATAATAATAATAATAATAATAATAATAATAATAATAATAATAATAATAATAATAATAATAATAATAATAATAATAATAATAATAATAATAATAATAATAATAATAATAATAATAATAATAATAATAATAATAATAATAATAATAATAATAATAATAATAATAATAATAATAATAATAATAATAATAATAAAGAGGAGGAGGAAGGTTGTCAGTTCTAAGGAATTTAAGGGTAAAAGTGAGCCAAAAAGATGGAGTAAAGGGAATTTTCAATTCAACAGATGAATGTAGAGCATATTTAAATCTTTTTAAATAATTCAAAGATATTTTTGATCCTTTTCCAAAAATTAAAATATACTATTAGAAAATAAACGAGAAAAGGACAAAAAAAAAATATATGCACTCCCTCACTTTATGTGAAACGGAAAGGTGTTCGATTGAGAGACGGTTAAAAATTATAAAGAAAAAAACTTTAATAAATTATGATCTAAAATATTATATAATGATAAATTATTTTATTAAAGATAAAGAAATATAAAATCTTATTCGGCGAATTGTAAACTAAACTTTAGTCTATCACTCCTTTCAAGACTTACCAAGAGGTACTAAGGCCCTTCCATTACCTTTACGGGGTACATAATCGAATTGGTTCGGATTTTTTAAATATCAAATCAAATTTTTTGTGTCAGATTTTTAAATCTATAAATCAAATCAAATCAATAAAATTTGAGTTTTTCAACCTCGGATTTTTT